TTAAGAAAAAAAAAGTTTTTGTTGATTTTGAAAGTGAATTTAAGTTAACACACTGCAAAAAATGCTGTCATGTCAAATAAAATTATCTTAAATCTAGTCAATAAATCTAATATTTCTCCTGCTGAGAATGTTGTGAATATTATTTTCACTTAGAAAATCAACTAGAATTTAGCTTTTGTGTACGACTGTGTATCTTTGACGTAACCTTTGGGAATCCCTCTGGTATCAAGTAACGCTGATTGGCTTCTGCAGGACCTGGGCGACTTGTCATAATTGATGGAACCATAAATTGTTCTCTCCTTCAGAAGATCCTGAAGGAGAATGTCGTCCATCAGTTTGTGACCGAAGCTTAAGCGCTCAAAAGAAACAGAATGGTTTCGGAGTGGCTGAGTCAAAGTCCTGACTTGAATCCTATTGAGATACTGTGGTAAGACCTAAAATGGGCATTTCATGGTCCGAAACCCTCCAGTGTAGCCATTCTGCAAAGAAGAGTTGGCCATAACTCCTCCACAGTGATGTAAAAGACTCAGCACAAGTTATTGCAAACATTTGATTGCAGTTGTTATTGCCCAGGGTGGCACAACCACTCATTAGGCTTAAGGGGGCAGTTACATTTTCACATGGGTATTACAGGTTTTGAATAAAATCATTGTCTTCAATAAATAGAATAGTCATTAGAAGCTGCATGTTGTGTTTAGTCGTGTTGTCTTTGTCTTGTATTAAAATTAGTTGGATGGTCTGAAACCTTTAAATGTGACAAATTAGCAAAACGTAGAAGAAATTGAAGGGGGGGCAAATACTTTTTCACAGCTCTGTATCAGCCTTGATGCCGCCCCAAAAATCCACCCCAAAGAATTTGTAGTTTTTCAGTTCCTTCCACCTCCAAGATGCATCATCAGAAGAAACTTGTAGTCTTTAAGCTGGAAAATCAGACTTGAGAGACGACTACAGTTTCGCGAGAATAATGTGTTTGTGAATAGACTGTGTCAGATATTGGATGCCATATCGCCTTGACAGAACTGTGCGGGCGGGAGCGGGACAAAACGTTTCGGTTGCAGGTGGGAGCTGGATGGAAATGGACTGTGGGTGGGATCACAGCCCAAAACACAAACAGACTTTCTGCTCCGAAATGGAATTTTCAAAGGCCAGTATTTCAACTTATTCTCTGATGATGTTTTGTGGTCATTTTATGATTTAGTCCATAAATATATTACATATTGCTCCTTTAATTTAGCCAGCGTTAGCTCTCCAAATGTCCTTGGTAATCAAATATAATTAATAGCTAGACATTCTTCCTTCTGTCTTGATTTTTATAAGCATTATTGTTTGGAATCGGCACTTAGAATCGTCTCCATCGATTGACACTCACCTGGAATCGGAACCGACCAGTCTTTAAGCAGGAAAATCAGACTCTAGAGACGACTCCAGCACCGCGGTCGGAGGCGAGTGAGCTTGTTTACAGATGTAGCGCTGCTTACATTTTTCATTCCAGCCCAAGTGTTTCTCTAAGTTAATCAGTTTGAAAATACAGGGAACATAATAGCTCAAATCAGAGGCTTTGAACCCTGAAGGACTTCGCAGCCTTTGTTATGCCGATAACACACAGCGGACGATGCTGTTTGACGCTAAAGAGAACCGATATAATGAAAGACGGTCACAAATCACGTCCTTCATTTTTTTCTTTGGGCCCGAGGTTAATTTGACAGTTTGAGGTCTTTCACAGCTGCCTCTGCAAGAGTTATGGATCTAATTTACGACAAAGGGGAACATAATTGGCTGTCGCAAGGGCAGATTAGATCATAACTGAGTGCTCTGAATGGCTGGGTCAGCAGAAGATACTGCAAAGCTCAGCAAAGGCCTTAAGCTAACAGGACACTTAGAGCTAATTATACAGTGTAATGTAATGGAATAATCACCCGCAGTCCTTCTGTTGCAAAGACACAAACGTAATTGCTGTTAAAATTCATTTACAGAGTTTCTAACTGTAATCTCTCTAACACCATCGTGACCAGTCTCAGCATTACTGCTCCATCGTAAACTTTAAAGCAGGCCATGAATTTGAAGATAGAGCTGGAACATGGGCTCGTGCACTTTAGAGTAATGCTTGTAGCAGATATGCTGTAATATGGTTTTTAACATTTCTCATGCAAATCTTTTTTACACAAATTCTGTGGAATTCTTTTTTTATTACTAATTTCCTGGTAGTAGTCTAGGCTAACAGCAAGCACAGCTCAAATAAGTTAAGGCTGCTCTGCTGAAAATTACTGGGCTTCATTTACCAATATCTTTTTCAAAAGCAAAGTGTGTTCTTGAGAAAGGTCCTCAGAAAAAGTCTCTGTCAGATTCATGATGGGTTCTTTAAGCGCAGAACTGTTCTCACCTTTGTGCTCTTGAGTGTGTAGATTCTGTTCTTACCTAAGAATAAATCCCAGATAAGAGAACACTGGTGAATCTTGATCCAAAACTGCGTAAGTGGGTTTTAAGAAGAATTTCGGTTGGTGAATGAGGCCCAACGTTTGCAAATTAAAAATCAGCTCATGTGGAATTTTTAGAACTCTATCAAGTTTAGATAGATGCATGGTTGGCTATGTACAGTAGCCAAAGTTGAGCCTGTTATATCGAAAACAAAAGCCCACTGCTCCGAAAATATTCGCTGCTTTGTATGAAGCTTAAGTCAGCTTCTGATGCACAAGTTTCTTGTTTGAATTTTGCCGTTCCACCTTAAATGTTGTAGTGGTTACATTCTGGTGCCTCAGGCTAATCGTCGGCTTCTTGTTCCAATTTTCCTGTTCCACCTTAAATGGTGCAGTATTCTGGCGCCTGTAACTGTGGTAGAGGTCCGCACTCTCACAGGATTCCTGCTGGATCCCCGGGACCACCACAATATCTTGCGGAGCTGGACTAATTTTCAATGCTGTGTGCGGGAGCGAGTGGGAAACCAGCCCACTGCAGGCGGGAGCGGGACAAGGCACACACAAATAAAAATGAACAGCCTAAATAAAGTAGAACAATCACTAAATCATATTTATAAACAATATAAAATGATGACAGTAAAACGGTTAAAATGAATGAAGTCATTCTAAAGAGCTGTGAAGCAGCCAATCAACAACACGAAGATTCTCGTAGTTTACAGAGACGGTGGAGCCTTCAGTCTGACGCCCCCAGCTGCCTGGCAAAACACCAAAAATAACCGCTCTGTGGTTTAATTCCTGCTCTGTGTTTAAATGGAGAATAAATGGCGTTTGGTTACTCACAGTGAGCCTGATGACCACGACTGACCTGTTATTTCAGCAGAGAATAATGTGTTTGTGAAAAGACTGTGTCAGATATTGGATGTCAGTTAACCTTGACAGAACTGTGCAGGCGGGAGCGGGATGGAAATGGGCTGTGGGTGGGATCAGAGCCCAAAACACAAACAGACTTTCTGCTCCAAAATGGAATTTTCAAAGGCCAGTATTTCAACTTAGCGTGTTTCCTTAATCTCTGATGATGTGTTTTGGTCATTTTATGATTTAGTACAGTGAATATTTTACATACTGTTCCTTTAATTTAGCCAGCATTAGCTCTCCAAATGTCCTTGGTAAGGTCAAATATCAGCATTACTGTGTGGAATCGACACTTAGAATCATCTCCTTTGATTTCCATCCCTTGGAATCAGAATTGACTCCAACATTTTTGCAAACAAACAGAACCGAGCATGCGAGTCCCCCTGCACACCCCCGTTCACTGTGTATTAACTCTAGACTTCTAAGGGAAGAGTGCTGGTTTGTGTTGAACCCTCCAATCTCGTTTGAGTGTGGTGGTCCATAAATAGTCCTTCATTCCTGTTTGCATTTTCTCCTACACATGGACGGTGGGTGTGTATTGTAATTACAGCAATTAGAAAAAACATGATATTGCTTCTGTACATCCGGCTGAGGCTGAAAATGTGGGAAAAGTGATGCCAGAGGGCAGAGGGCAGTGAAGGCTCTGACTGGATGGAGTAGGCAGATGTCTTAAAGTGGCTTTGCGGCTTGTTATCCGCACATGAAAGTAAAAGACCTGTTTGTGTGCAAGGAGCAAAGAGGGACAGAGTGTGGAGTTGACAGCTATCGGCTCCCCTCTCTCTCTCTCTCTCTCTCTCTCTCTCTCTCTCTCTCCATGCATTTCGTGAGTAAACTGCTGATGCATCGGCAGCATGGTTGATGCTGTAGCAGAACCGTGCCTGGTAAAGACCTGGATCTTGAAATACAGTAACCTAGAGGGTCTCCTCAGCAAAAGATAACAGTGTAGAGTACCTCGAGGGTTGGGATGTATTTTAAAAATTTCATCAGGTCTTGTTGAGGAGAAGGAGATTTGATTTATTCTGTTTTTTTTCCCACTTCTGTGCTTTTGTGTTGCAGGATGGAACCCCTTGCAACCTCTGGACCGTGTCTGCAAGTGAACTACTTCAAAATATCTGGAGGCTACAATCTCCTGACTCCCACCATGCCCGAGCATAATGTGATTGCTCTTTTTAATCAGCTTGACAGCAGCTGGAGCTCCGGCAGCCCTCGGTCGCCAGTGGACAGGAACGTGGAGCCGTAAATCTGGAAACAGCCAGGAACGAACGTCAAGCCCAGCAGCCGCGTTTTTAACGGAAGAGAACTTGAGAAACCACAGCCATGTCTGACCAAGCCGCCCATTAGTTTAAGATAATTTACGCTCTACTTATGAGTCTATCTTATCCTAGAGCGTATGGATTTTGATGCCTAGCAACTCCCAAAGTGGGAGCAGTACTGCCTGCAGCAATTTGGGTGAAGTACCTGGCCTAAGGGTATAAAGGTACGCTGGTCATATCTGATAACCTGGTCTTCAGGCTAAGCACCAACCAAGAAAACCCAATGAATCCTGGGATTCAGACTGGCAACTATCCGGTTGCTGGTTCAGTTCCCTTTCCACCTACCTTGAAACTTGCTCTATGCTAACACTAACATTGGACTCTAATAGGATCAAAAAACTGTAATCCCTGGACTGCGAGCATGCCCCATCTCAACGTTACCACTCTTTTCTCAAACTTCTCCAATGGACCAGAATCGGGGAATCTGTACCGTCCATTTTCTGTCTTCAGCGTCCTGACGCTCACACTCCTAGCCATGCTCGTGGTGGCTACCTTTGTGTGGAACCTCCTGGTCCTGGTGACCATCCTGAGGGTCCGGACCTTCCACCGTGTCCCCCACAACCTGGTGGCCTCCATGGCCATCTCGGACGTGATGGTGGCCGGTCTGGTGATGCCGCTGAGCCTGGTGCGGGAACTCTACGGCCGGCGCTGGATCCTGGGCCGGATCCTCTGCCAAGTCTGGATCTCTTGCGACGTCCTCTGCTGCACAGCCAGCATCTGGAACGTGACTGCCATAGCCCTCGACCGCTACTGGTCCATCACGCGGCACCTGGAGTACACGCTCAAGACCCGCAAAAGGATCTCCAACGTGATGATCGGACTGACCTGGCTCCTGTCCTCCGTCATCTCCCTCTCGCCGCTCTTTGGCTGGGGAGAGACGTACTCTGAGGAGGCTCTGGCCTGCCAGGTGAGCCAGGAACCTTCCTACACCGTCTTCTCCACGTTTGGGGCCTTCTACCTGCCTCTCTGCGTGGTGCTCTTCGTTTACTGGAAGATCTACAAGGCTGCCAAGTTCCGCATCGGATCCCGCAAGACCAATACCATCATGCCCATGTCGGAAGTTATTGAGGTAAGTGCATTTTTTTTTTTTTAAATCACATTAACATATTTTCTCCTGACCTCAAATGTAGTTGGTCAGTCAAAAATGGACAAAATACACATTTTACAACTAAAAACGATAGCAGCCATCTAGAAGCCTGAATCTGGTCCATATTTTTGTCCATTTTTGTAGACAACAGTATGTTATAAAGGGTCAGAAACCACATAATCAAGTCTATTAGAGATTACTGACCAACTCCACATGGTTTGAGGCAAAGGTGTGATGGCATGCAGTTAGCATGATGCTAACTGATGGGGTATAAGTTTCTATTACATGTCAGCCAGTGCAGAAAGGACAGATTGATCTTTATATGTGCAAAATGTATCCAGAAAGCACTGACCAATAGAATGGAGCAGCTGCACATGAGCCTAAGGTCATTATGCCTAATGCCAAGCGTGGGCTAGAGGGGTATAAAGCTCCCCAGCATTGGGCTGTGGAGCAGTGGAACTGTGTTCTCTGGAGTGATGGAGCTCCATCCAATGAGCTGGAATGATCCAGAACTGACCATCCAACATCAGTACCTGACCTCACTAATGCTCAATCAAATCCTCACAGCAATGTTCCAATATCTCGAAGCCTTTCCAGAAGAGAAGAGGCTGTTACTGCAGCACAGACTCATTATTAACACCCTTCATTTCAGAAGAAACGTTGGTGTCTACAAACTTTTAGTGTAGGAAATCTTACCGATTGAAGTGGGAACAAAGCTAGTTACGGCTTTTTGAGATCATGAGGGATTGTTTCAGGTTTGTCTTTGCTCTCCTAATGAGGTTTCTGCACCTGAAAGCCAGTTTTTGTCCACAACCAGAGTAAATTCTTGGAACAAGAATCGAGGTTGTATCCTCACAGTTCACTCTCAGAGTTATACTTCTTGTCAGTTGATCCAGCACAACCTTCTCAATGATATGACATCCTCTGACTTCATGTCAGACAGGTTCTCCGCTGCTGTTCTCTCCCTTCCGTCAGGCCTGCTCTCAGTTCTTGATCTTTGTCCGACAGACTGCAGCGATGGACACAATTCTGAGGATTCGTTTGGCAAAATGGCACTACATGAATGTAAATTGCTGTCTTTTTAAACACACCATGTTTTTGATGGAAAATAGTGGAAAATCTGAAATAATACGTTTTCTTTGGGGACTATTTTGCGCCCATGGTGTGTTTAAAAATGACTTAAAAAGACAGCAATTTACATTCATGTAGTGCCATTTCACTAAAAGAATCTTTGGTCCTGGAGATCAGAGTTCAGCTCCATTCCCAATCTAACACACCTGATCCAGGTAATGAAGGCCTTCATGAGCATGTCTGGTGTGTTGGATCTGAACTCTTGCATAAATCTGTCTTAAAGGCACAAAACAAGACAAAAGCAGTCTGTTTAATTGTAATGGATAATCAGAGGTGTTTCCAGTACACTACTAGCAAAGCTCTGTATAACATCAAAAAAGGCCAAATCTACGCTTTCACAATGCAAAGAACCCTTTAACCATGCAAAGGGTTCTTCGAGTGTTCATGATTCTATATAGAATCATTTTCTTCACTAAAGAACCTTGAAGATCTTTTTTAAGAATGTACATAAACTGACACAAACATCATAACTGGACCTTAGAGGAAAAAAATGAAGTGCATAATACATATAATATTTTTCTAGATGCTTTTTCGTTTTAAAAGTCTTTAAAACTCTTAAACTCTTACATCTGGTTCCTATCACCACCACTGAGAACAATTCTGACTCTAGAGTGCAGCGTTTCACACCAGACTGCTCTGAATGACCACGTTTACACCTCAACCGTTTAATTAGGCAGAAATTCAGAAAAAAGGTTGTTTTAAAGCTGAGCTTATTTGGGCTCCAGGCACTTTGTTAAAAGGAAACAGGAACTCAGGACAGTGCGAGATGAAAGCCGAGAGAACGAGGTGAAGGACGGGAGGAAAAGGATTTTCTTTTGCAGAGATCAAACCCGACAGAGTGGCCCTTTCAGCGGGCGGCACTAACTGTGGGTGGAACAGGCAGTTTTAATTGGGCCATCTGATCTGGAGTGGCGCTGCGCGCTCTGATACATTCCAATACAAACTGTGGCTCATTTTGTTTTCATTAGTGACTGCTGGCCAGTTTTGGTCATAAATCATCCTGAAGTGATTAAGCAGCATGTGGAGCGCTAAACATCCACACGCGTCAAGTGCAGCCCTGTAAAAGACAAATGTATTTGAAAGGTTGATGTTTACATTTTAAACATTATGACGGTGTTTTAGGGCCACTGTTAATAAAAATAAAAATAGTAGACTTAGAGAATAAAGTCGGAATATTTCGAAAAAAAATGTGCAATATTTCGAAAAAGGAAGTCGTAGTATTTCGAGAAAAAAGCTGATGTGCAGGAGAGACAGGGAGACTGAGTGTTTCTTTATGGGTGAATCGATATGAAAGTGTAGCTCCACCAACTCACCGCCCCTCATTTAACACCAGGAGGTGCTGCCTTCACTTCGCAAAGCCTTTGGCCACAATATTGCGACCTTTACTGGTATTAATGCCACTTTAATGTTGTAATTCTATGGCTTTTTTCACAAAATATTACAACTTTATTCTTGAAATATCATATCATATGACTTTTTTCTCAAAGTCTGCTATTTTTATTTTTATTAACAGTGGCCCTAAAACGCCGTTGTAAACCATAATCTAATACACTGCATGTATTATTTTGGATCAACTTACAACAAGTGTATTTAAATTGTAACTAAGATGTGACGAAATATACATTAAGTGCATTTAGTTGTGCTTTTGAGTGCTTAAGTTGCACTTGTAGTTTTAAGTATGTACTTAAGACGTCTACTACACTTACAGCATATTATAAATGTATGCTCTTGTGTGTATACATGCCCTTATTTGATTGCTAGGTAGAGTTGCATGCAAGCTTTAATGTCATTGCTTTAAAATATACTTCTAAGTTTTACACTTAAGTAGATGACAGTTATAGTTTTGTATGCTTGTATTTTCTAGCATAGTTAAGTACAGTTTAAATGTGCTACTTAAAAAATATATGTTTCGAAAAATACACTCGAAATATATTACAAACACACTACTGGATGTACTGATACACATCAGTGCTATTTATTTAGTTATACTGTGACTAAAAAGTACATTTCAGTATCACTAAATATTGATCATATAACATACATTTACTTTTTAGTATACACTTAAATGCACATACACATTATACAATATATTAGGAGTAACTAAACATAACTTACATATACATAAATTATATTTAAGTAATGTTGAAATACATTGTAAATGCTTGTAAGTGCTTTTCTGTTCTAAATTGGAACAACCTTATGTTGCAATGAAGTTCACTTAAGCAATTGTTAAGAAAAATTCTACTACACTTGAAACAGATACCCATATTTGATTGCTAGGTATTTTGACTTACATTGCAACTGAAATGTACTAAAGCACGCTATAAAAGTCATAGCGTAAATTTACTTTTTAGTACAGGATGAAATATACAGATATTATACAATATATTAGGAGTAACTAAACACAACCTATGTATACATAAATAATATTTAAGTAATACATTGTATATTGCAACTGAAATGTACTAAAGTGCACTATAAAAGTCATTGCTTTAAAATATACTTCTAAATAATACACTTAAGTTGATGACAATTATAGTTTTGTATAAATATGCTTGTATTTCCCTACAGTAAAGTACAGTTTAAATGTGCTACTTTTTAAAGAGGTATGTTGTTGCTAAAAAGGTATGTAAGTGCTTTAAATGTACTTGGATGCCCAAACTTTTTCATGCACTGTTGAGTTCTTTTTTTTTTAACAACTTAAGTTGCACTTAAGTAGATTTAAGTTTGTAACTTGGAATATATTATAAACATACTACTGGATGTACTGATACACTCTACTGCTACTTATTGAGGTATACTGTAACTAAAACATACTTAAATTACATTTCAGTATCACAAAATACACTCAAATAGATTGAATAAATAAAACATATTTACTTTTTTTACTATACACTATACATATATTCTACAATATATTAGGAGTAACTTAACACAACTTATGTATACATAAATTATATTTAAGTAATGTTGAAATACATCATATATGCCTACTAGTGCAATGAAGTTAACTTAAGCAATTGTTAAGACAAATTCTACCACACTTGAAAAAGACACCCATATTTCCTAGTTATTTTGACTTATGTTAACTAAACTGTCCTAAAACAAACTTTAAAAGTCATAAATTTGAAATATACTTCTAAATAATATACTTAAGTTGATGGCAATCAAATCTGCTTTTGCTGAAGTATGCTTGAGTATATTAAGATATACATTTATTCCAGTGTATTTCCTTACAGCATTCCAAAGTACCATTTAAAATGTCTTACGTTACAAATATACTTAAAGTATATTTTAGGCATATTTCCATAAAATACATGTGACATATAAACAGTACTAGTAGTATTCTCTATATGCTGCCACATGGATGTACTTAAGTATGCTTCTTTTTTGCAGTGCAGGCGGTTCATTGTGAAGCACTCATGCTCAAACAGCCCTCAGCGACTGTTTCTCCTCAGTTCAGCGAGATGTTCAGTGCTGGATTTCGGTGGGAGAAACGAGAGCATAAATAATTATTGCCTTCATTTTGTCTTTGTTGATTTGGCAGTGAAATCCATAACACAGCATTGTGCTGAAAGCGGTGGTCCTGCCAGGCGCACCAAAGCCCTCCGAATCAATGAAGCCAATTTGTAGGATTCTGTACTCACACAAAGGGATGATTTGATGGCCGTACTTACTGAGGAGCACAAATTTAGCTTCTGGCTCTAGTTTTGTGGCTGATCTACTACAACCTGCTGTGTAACCAACTGGCGTCCAGGAACTCGCCCACACGTCAAATTCAACGTTTCTGTATATATTTCTCTATTTTTGTGATGATCCAGCTCAGAAATCCAGTTCAAACACTTCCTGAA